ATCTGAAATTGTTTATCAAAAAAGAAAATTAGCTCTATTTCTTTATATGCTATTATAACTATGAGTAGTTAGAAATATGTATAGCTGAGACTCTAAGCAAATTATAAGGAGCAACATTGCCAACGAGTCGATGGGATTTATTTATTCGTTAACTATGCTCGATGCTTAATATCGCATGGATATTCGAATAATTTATTGTTAGTCGGTCAAATGGAACGAAACAAAATATTCGATATACAAAACCGACAAAAAATGTTGGACTGTTCAGACGCAACATTTTAATATTACTCACAGCGGTCAAACTACTCATGTTGTACGATTGTTCCATCAGCTTCAATGTTACAATGAGTAGAATTATTCAAATGGGGAACTATTCAACTTGAACTTAGCTTTTGTAGATGAGGATAATGGTGTTTTATATTCACTTTGATATCGAATTGCACAATCAAGGACATTCATGACTCAGCACTAAAGTGAGTCATCCGCCTATAGATAATCGCCTCCCTCTTGATGCGGGATAAAAGAACCTCTCTATTATTTGTGCATGTGCTCTATAGCATACGCATAGTCTATCGATTGAACGTACGTATGGTCTATCGATTGAGCATACACAAAGTCTACCGTTGGAGCGTATTAAATTATTGTGCTACACGTGGTAATTTTATTTTCACTACTTTTTAAATATCATACGTTAGTACAACGGGGTATACCTTGAGATTGAGATATATGAAGGTGTAAGACTAACCCGATTAAGACATTTGCAAATGCTTAAATACCGGCTTTTATGATCGTTTTCCATTGTTATGATATAAAACTACATCAATGACTCATCGTATTGAATTTTTTTGCTTTCTTTCTCATCAACAAGACAAGGCGGAAAAAAACCATTTTAATGCGAAGGATAATCAGACGATCATATATAAAACCTTCTCATTGAACTCGAATTAATTTAGTCGTTTGTATGAAATTTTTGTATTGAATATTGTTCATTCAAAGCCAATTTGGTAAGACGCGTGTAAAATCATATTCGTCTATTTATTCTTCAAGATCATTCCTCAGGGCTATCAAGTTCGGACTAAATTTAAAGATGACAGTGTCAATTGATGAAATAAACCCCTACATTATGCAACAAACAAATGGTCAATTAAGCTTGAACGAAGGTGATGTGCCCAACACTCAACTAAAGGGTCAATTAAGCTTGAACGAAGGTGATGTGCCCAACACTCAACTAAAGGGTCAATTAAGCTTGAACGAAGATGTGATTATTCATGATTTAATTTCACCTACAACTCTATACATTCAATCCTCAGAGGGAATACTAGCAGTTTCAAACGACTATGTGCTTATGAACGAATGTACCAAAAGACGTAATCGACTTATTATATTAGACGCAGATCTAAATCTTAAAACATTGAGGCCTCTAAGAAAAACCACAATCTTAGAGGCTACGCATTGTGGTCATAACCGGTTTTTATTACTTAGTGAAACACAAGTATTTATAATAGATGCGAAAAATATGAGCTCAATGGAAGTTATTAAAGAAATTATCCCTTATGAGCCATCAAAAGTGTTTAAATCATGTTGTACATACGGCAATGATAACTTACTATATTTATGCTATGCGGCATGGGGCACAGAAGTTGAACGCTGGAAAAAGCAATCTGATTGGGAATTAGTCAAGCGATACGTGCCAGTAAATGATACTGAATATATTAGTAACATTAAGGTGAATGACAACGATGTATTAGCCATGACAATATATAATTCTATTACTGATCAATGGCGTTTAGAAATATGTGTGGCGGAGACTCTAAGCAAATTGAAAGCAACAGCATTGCCAACAAGTCAATGTGATTATTCTTTATCATTAGTTAATTATAACCGATGGTTAATATACAATGGATGTTCGAATAATCTATTGTTAGTGGATCAAAGTGGAACGAAACAAAATATTAGCTATATAAAACCGATAAAAAATGTTGCACTATTCAGACGCAACAATTTAATATTACGCACAGCGGAAAAACTACTCATACTTATAATAGCAGATGAAGAAATAGGAAAAAGCTAATTTTTGTTTTTGATAAACAATCTTAGACGTTTTACGATTGTTTCATCAGTTTCAATGTTACAATGAGCAGAATTATTTCAAATAATGAGATTTTCAACTTGTATTTAGCTTGTACATATATTTGTAATATTTGTATTTTGAATTAAAGTATGAAAGTGAACTATAATATTAAAATGAAAATAGAGCTACTGAAACAGAGTTCACCAGAATGAACAACGTATAGGACGTTAACAACATAAATGAATATCAAAAAAGAAAATATTATTACATCAGCTTTTCTTGTACAAGAACTGTTATCCAGCTATAATAGAAGGAATTCGTCGAACCCATTGTGCTAGGCGTCATGATGTGACATAAATATTGTCCCCGTTTGATTGATGTAAGAGCCATTTTGAGAAGACAGCTAACACTGGTAGTAAAACAAGGGACGGGAAACGTTTTCTGCTAGAAAATGGTCCAAAATGATGTTGAGTGAAAATGACCAGAAATGCTTCTCTTTTCACGTCGCAACACTTCTGGCCTAGAGGAACTGCTTCTGATCTCATTGAAAAAGTTATTTCTTATGTTATTCTTAGAGAATTGTCCGCGCTTTAAAACGAGCTATTGATAAGCTGCTGGATAGAGCTAGGAAATAAACTACGGTACACTGTATATTCGGAAATTATTTATAGTAAATGCTCGGCGATTTTCAAAGTTCATATATAAAATCCTCAGGGATTTTCCAGATTATAGGAAATCAACAATATCGATCTTTTAATAATGAAAACCAAATTCGACATCGCTCAGGTGTGGAACGACTGTTATTTTATTTAAAAAGTAAAGAAAATAAATGTGAATTGCTAAGATCATGTCTTTGAATTAACAGAATCAACTACATTTTTGGAAGATGCTAAATTCAGACATAAAAATGAGGAATATTCGTAAGAACAAACCGCTTTGCGATCTGCAGAAAGTTGTAGTGGAACTCGACTTTGTCTGAACCAGGCAATCCAAGAACCTTTTCAGTACCTCTTTGTGATCTCCAAGTGTTATACAACAACAATACTTCTCAAAGAATATGCTGATTTGCAAAAACTGAGAGAACTTTCCGAATCTACTAACATTTCCGATGTTAAATACTAAAATGAGCAGAGATCTATTACAGGACAACTTGTTGCAATTTAGGCTTTAACAGATATGAAAGAAGCAAGAAAAAATTCACCGATTCGTCTTCTTAGAAAATCGAATTCGATTTTCCAACTATTTAGAAAATCGCTGTCGAATTTCAAGAATATTGGAAATTATTTATAGAAGATCGCTTTTGATTTTCTAGAATCTGGAAAATCTAGTCGATTTTCCACAATGTTGGAAATTATTTATAGAAAATCGATCGATTTTCTGGCAAATGAGAAAAGTCAATTCATAGAAAATCCGCTCGATTTTCTATAAAGTAGAAAATAATTCCAAATTACAGTATCTGTTGTTTCAAATCTTAAGTTTAATAGACTTATTGGCAAAATACCGAACGGATGCAGTTTAAGCCGCGGCAGAACAATAAATGAAGTACACTGGTGTACAATAGGGAGACCCGGAATGACTTTCATAAAAAAATGGAGAAAATAATAAGCTTCAAACTAAAATAGATAGATTCTTGTAAACGTATGCTTGTATACATTTCTATACTAAATACTATACAACGTATTGTTACTTAAAGTACGTGACAAAAGTTTGAGCCTTTTCTTTTCTGACTTTTTTCGTCAACTACGACAGCTAAATACTAAAGAAAGCTTTGACCAGCTGAAACATTTTTCTATCCGATGAGACGTATACAAAATTTTGAACACAAAAAACATACAAAAAAAAATAATAACTAGATAACATCGAGTCGATTGCACAACCTCAATCGTTGTACAGAATATAGACATAGAACAGTGGATTTAATTTTGCAGTTTACTGCAAAGTTAAGTTCATGTGTTCGAATCTGTATTCGTACAAAAACTGCTTTTGTGTTTCGATAGTTTTAGTTTAGAATACTATAATGGAATATTTTTCCGCTTGTATTCTGGAAAGAAAAAAGCTTAAAACAAAACAAAATTTTCTCAAAGTATTTAAAAACCAGGATTTGGGGGAAACCAAAGTCCTAGTTTCAAGTATCCTAGCTTCTATCGGCAGTTTTGTGTTAATAGTTAGTTACATAGAGTAAACATTTTTGAGGAAAATGGGATATCTCCGAGCTTTCCACAACATTTTTTCCTCAAGCTGCATTATATTTACGAAAACCCCCAAAGACATTTCTGCCAGGTTTTGTAGACTTTTCCAATTTCCTATCCGTTCGGTACTTTGCGAATAAGTCTATTAAACTTCGGATTTGAAACAACGTATCATAGCTTATTTTCTAGCTCTTTCAATTCTCCATTTTTGAAAATACAAACTATTCCTAATTTGTATTTGTGACAGAAACTGTAATTATTTTTACATATCACTATGCGTGAAAATCGAGATATCTATCCAGTATTTAGCCAATAAATCTATGAGGACAAATTTTTAATACAACATATTATAGTTCATTTTGAAGCCCAGAAAATTCTCTATCTTTCGATATATGAAACATTCCGGTTCTGAGCAGATATGTCGAAAAAATATTCTTTTAAAATCTTAAGCCAGACCGTATAAGGGCATATTTTTGAAAAGCTTCTCATTTTGAAGCGCAGGAAATTCTCTAGCTTTCTATATGCAAAACACCACAGGTCTGAGTAGAAACGTCAAAGAAGTATTCCTTAAAAGTGTTAGGATACGTGAAAATTATGACATCTGTGTAGTAATTTGACAATTGTTCTATGTGGGCATTGTTCTGTGTGAGTAGTTTATCAATAGCTCGTTTTAAAGCACGGAAAATTCTCTATCCTCAAAGCTCTTATGTATGGGCTTTGGTCAAATCGTACGAAAATTTGAGGAAACAAAATAGATGATCTACGTTGAACTGGTGACGAAAAATGATAAGAAATAATTTTGTCAAACAGATCAGGAGCAATTTTTGAAAGTCAGAAGTATTGGGAAGTGATATTGCGTCGTTTTTACTCAAAGTCATTTTGGGCCATTTTCTAGCAGAAACCGTTTCCCGTCATTTTGTTTTACTTTGAGTATTCGCTTTCTGTTCAAAATGGCTTTTACATGAATCAAACGGGGCTTCAGAAACATAACCAAATATTGTTCCTGAAATAGTAAAGAGTTCTTGAATTTTCTGGTCCCAGATAGGATGGTGATTACCATAATGCCTCTTCGACATCATACTCATCTCTTGGATAAACGATTATGGGCCGCGTTATATGAGTTTTGTCTACTTCAGCATGCTTTGTATTATTACTCAAATGGAATCATTTTGGTTAGATTTTTCTCGCCTTGAAAGATATTTTGTCAGCTGAATCATTTTAGCAGTCATGTTAAAGCAAGGAAGCTTCCATTTCAAACATCTGTGAAGAACGCCCTACTATGTGGTTAGAATCATCTACCTGCATTCACACAATGCTCTATTTATATATCGTTGAAAAAAATCGAGATCAACGGCAACTCTTTGTGTTGGATTCGCAATTCCAGTGCTTGTATGAGAGACAAACGTATCCAGAAATCCTGTTTGCTTCATGTAAAAGCCATTTTGAGCAGAAAGCGAACACTCAAAATAAAACAAAGGGACGGGAAACGGTTTTTGCACAGTGGTTAGGAATGGTGAAATAAACAAAACTCATATAACGCGGTCCATAATCGTTTATCCAAGAGATGAGTATGATGTCGAAGAGGCATTATAGCAACCATCATCCTATCTGGAACAAGAAAATTCAAGAACTCTTTACTATTTCAGGAACAATATTTGGTTATGTTTCTGAAAATGATTTTATGAAACACGTACAAAACAGCAAGAAAGGTTTTTGTTCTAGGAATACCACAATTACTGTTCGATAAACACATACAAAAAAACAGACTAGGCTAGTTAACCGGAAAAGAAATCGGAAACGGAGCTTCAGGATACGTTTGTTTCTGAAAGAAGCATGTTGAAATTGCGAATCCTACACCAGCAGTTACCGTCGATCTCAATGGTAGTTTTACACAGCTGTGCCGCCCAATGTTTCTCGACTGATTGCTAGGAAGATCTATGGTATCGTGAAGTAGAGCCACGATTTCCTGGAAGTCCCCGTTGGCTTCATGTATGGAAAGAATCACTGTACAGCACATGGTCGAAGTTATTATCTCTTATCTCACGTAAGGAAGAAACTATCAGTTTGTGGGGTACAAGTTAGAAGCATTAGCTGATGTTACTACCAAATCCAAGCAGAAATTAGGCGAAAAAACTAATCCAATCTTTTCCTACATATAAATAGTGCAAAATGTAGCCCTTTCAATTCTCTATCGAATGGTGTACAAGTGCCTATTGTGATGTCGACTCCTTCGAGACGAAAAAGGGATTCGAAAAATGCATAGGAAAAAGCGAAAAATACGACATCTATAGACAAAAACATGATTATTTCTTCATGTAGATGTGCTTAACGATTGTAAAGCACATATTTAGAATCAGCAGACTTTCAGCCGTCTAATGATATAACAAATCATAAACTCGAAAATGATTTCCATTTAAAACAGCACATGAATTCTTTATAACGTTAATTCTTCATGAGACCACTTCAGTATAGGTCCGTCGCACCCGTTGGCACCACTCGAAAATAACATTTAATTACATCAAAATGTTCCTCAGACACTACTCTGTCTGTACTGATCTCCCAAAATCTCCCAACTCATCCAAACAGGCTTGGTAGATTTTCAAAAACGCTAACGGTTTTTCAAATATTTCGAGCTTTTCTCGATCAAGAAAACAGTTTTGCTGAAACATAATACCATATTCGGAATCAGCGTGAAAAACTGCATCGAATGATGTATAGCTTTTTAATTTTTTTGCAGAAATATTTTCGATCAAATTGAATTATAGACTTGAAATAAAAAGCAGCAAATTTTGCTTAGGAATTTGGATATTTATTTTAGCAATAGTACACAAGTCTATAAACACATTTTTTATAGATTTTCGAATATGATCTTTCGAATAGTGAGGTTCTCGAAATGGAAAAATATTTTTTATGGGTTTTCCAGAGATCCGGTCTCCAGAAAACCCACAAGGAATTACTTTTGAGTACTGAAAATCTCATCATTAGAAAGAGCATATTCGAAAACCTATAGAAGAACGTGTTTATAGGCTTTCATACTACTCCTACAGCATATGTCCGCCTGCTCTGTAGAAAAATGCCCACTGTGCAAATATAGGTCAAACTGAGAATGTCAAAACTTTAATAAGCTTTTATTGTACAAGTGTTGCTAGACTAACAAGATTTGACAGCGTTTCGAGAAAAATTTGATTGCCCGAATTAAACTTTAAACCGATGGTCTTTATAAGTCAAATTGAACATGGAAAAAAAAAAATTTGGTCTGAAATGGAGAAAAGAATAATAGTAACTATTTGACTGCTCTTTGCTGCGTCGTTTCTGTTCAAAAGGATTGTTCTGGAGTTTTTTTTCTATAATACTAGTCATATGTATGTATTGATAGTCATATATATCCGCTCTCTCATGCTGATATTGTCGAATCGACCAGCATAGTTGACTATTAGGAGAGTGAACTGCATAGAGGAAAAATGTGGCGTGATGACTTTGTGTCTTTGAAGAAGTCTTCATATCTTACACAATAGAGCAGATAAAGAAAAGTATTTATGCATGTTTATTCTAAAATTAGTCGTCGTCCAGTGCAGTAAAGAAGAAACAATGGTTGAATGCTACATATATAAAAGAGTTTAAGAATTTTTTGTCACAAGTTTCGCTATAGCTCAACGCAAACGTTCGTAACGTTGAAAATTCTATAGGTCAGTTTTTTTACTATATACAAACTTGTTTAATATAAGTATTGACAACCTTGAACAATGCCAAGCGAACGAAAGTAAGTGCGGAAAGGTTTTAGAAATGATATTTCTGAAAACATTACATCTGCGTTTAGACGTCCACAAAGTATAACAGACAATGATTTTATGTCAAGTATGCTAAAATTTATGACAGACAAAGATGATGTAGATTGGTGGTCATCACTTCAAACGCCATCAAGTCCTATAGCAGAAAAGATCTGGAGCACACCGTGTACCGAGTGGTCGGAAAACAACGGCGATATAATAAAATCTGTTTTTAATGAACAGAAATTAATCGTACATAAACCGTTTACAACTTCAAGGTCTTCCGTATCTTTAGTGAATAATCGTAATATTTGCTCATTAACAAAAGTAGCTTATCCTACATCACTTATTTCGGCGAGCGATCAAGAGTCACCATTCAGTGAGTATCAGTTGGTTTGGCTCGAGATACATTTCTATTTATGTTTATCTCCCAGGAAATGCACGTTTAATACCGTCATGTTCCGTTAATCAAACGCCTGATCATTCATGTCCAAAGTCAACATTACCGTATCCAAACATCATTTTCAATCATTTGGCAACACCTCTATCATCAGAAAAAGCTGCTCGATCTATTTCACCATCGGTAGTATCAACACCGAACAAGAGAACCAAAGCATCGTCAGAATTAATCACCGATATACCAGAGTAAATAAAACATTCCTAGAATTTACATAGAATACGTATTTGTGATTAAACTAAACAATAATTTTTCTAATGCTTTGAGGAAGAAAAAGTGAGCAATTGATTTATAGCGTCCTTAAAAGTCAAGTTTGTGAGGTAGAAATTACTTTTGTTCTTGGTAGTAGTATTTTTTACAACCAGATACTTCGAAAGCATTCTGAATTTGGAAAAGCTCTGATTTTATTTTATGTGACCTATTTTTTTTTCTAGTCGATCATTGCCGATATGGGAGGTAGCTGCACTACTAATGGAGCATCAAGATGCAACATGTGCATTGGTAACACTTATACAAGAATATCAAAGTCGGTAAGTGGTTTTATCTTATCAGAAAACAAGTATTATGGAAAAATTGTTAACATTGCTGAGTTTAGCTTTCAAAAGAATTTACATGTGAATGAATTGTACACAATGAGAAATATGCTTGATATTCAGGATTTTCGTGGCAATCGTACAGTTAGATTACTTCCAAGATGTGCAGAGATGTTTAAAGAATTACGTTCGGGCGGTGTAAGTGAAGACAGTAGATGTTAATTAGATATATAAACAATTTTTTTTCTGTGTTTTTATTTAGGTTGTTTTGGAGTCAGCATTTTGTGGACAACATTGCCCATCGAATTATGTTGTAAATGCTGATTTAGAATTACCATTTGTCAAATTACCATTGGATAAATTTGCTGAAAATGTCCGATGTTTGCTGGTTGACCACAATGGTTCATTACCATTAGCGAGGTGAGATCAATAAAAAGCGTAGTCCAGTCTAGAAATGTCTTTTTTTATACCTTTCTAGTTTTCCATTATGTTACGCCCATCGATTTGAACCATTATTAGATCATGATGATGGTATTCCATTGGAACATTTTATATCTTGTATTAAAGATGTTCAAATTATAATGTGTGATGGTGCAATAAAAAAAGTACAATTTATGAATACTATAGGAACTCTGAATGGCGTTGATACAACAGGTAGATTTCGTTGGTCTGTTAAAATATGGCTATAAAATATCATGGTGTGATGATATTTTCAATGTTTTTCTAGTATGTTCTGAAAATAATGATGTTCAACAACGTCTCCAACAGTTTAGTCGTGAAGTTCTTGATTTGTTAAAACAGCAAAGTCCACATTGTCGTTTACCCGTATCAAAATTTGTTTCAAGTTATCATCAGTATTTTAGTAGACAATGTCGAGTTGCCGATTACGGATACACAAAAATCATTGATTTATTAATGGCAATTTCCAAAACTATCCAGGTTAATAAGTTTGTCTCTCTTTTTAGACATATTTATATTTTTGTTATTTTAGATTCTTGGAAATGGAAATAAACGAATAATAACATTAAGTCATCGAAGTCAAGTGAAACGTTTTACTAACGATCTTGTTCGTATGTTAAAAAATAAACCACAACGTTCAATACATATTAGTGACATACCAAGAGAATATGGTAAGCATATTACTATTTCATCTGATTTTGTTAACTCTGATTTTGATTTGTAGAAATGGCCTATAAAAAACAATTTCATATCAGTGATTTTGGTTTATCTTACATTGAAGATATGATTTTAGAAATAAAAGACAACAAAGAACTTGTTATTGAATTGGATAAAGATATCGTCAAACTTTATCGTAAAGGTTAATACATCTTTATCTGTCATTTCGTTGATCGTTATGTAACATGAGTTTTGTATTTTAGAACGAACTGATTTGGAAATATTTGCAACAAGAAACTTCGAACGAGATGTTGTTGATATGTTACGACAAATGCCGGATTTTAGTATTCCATTCCAGAAATTTGTACCATCATATCATCATCATTTTGGTTATCAATGTAAAGTACAAACGTATGGTTTTGCAAGATTAATTGATTTATTAGAAGAAATAGAAGATGTTATTAAGGTGAACATGGTGAATTTATTTCTGCTTGAAGATCACGATGGTTTTCATGACTTTGCCTTATGTAAAACAGAGTTGTGAAAGAGAGATCTATTATTTCGAATTTAGAGTGAAGGAGCGCTAAAATGAAGTTTGGCACTGAGTCCATTATTTAGCGTCTATCTTTCTAATAGATAACCGAAGATAAAAATGGGGAAAAAATTGTTCAGTTAACTGAGCCAATGATTCATCGAGCAGTATCATTGAATATCGAGCAATTGGTTAAACAAAATCAAGGTTTATTACCGTTGAAAGATTTACAAACACAATATTTTCATGTTTATCGTACAGAATTAAATGCAGAAGATTTTGGTGATGAAAGTTTAGAATGTTTATTGATGAAAATGACTGATAAACTTAAAGTGAATACTTAATATATTCTTTAATAATTAGTTTTGTAATATGTAATTATTACTTTCGTTTTTTTAGTTTCATTTTTTCAATTTTGATATTATCATCGGTTTACAAGATGAAAATCGACATGTTCTAACACTTGCAAAACAAGTGGTTCATACTTTGATGTTATCACAATGTCAATTATCCTTTTGGCAATTAAAACAAGAAATGTTGACAAAATACCAACAAAGTATAACAATAACAACATGTCAAACTGAATTAAAAGATTATGTGACGGTAAGCTTAGAGAGAAACATGACTGAAACATCTTTAATTTAGATATTGTGTCCTGTTTTGTAGGTAATTGATCAAACTGTTCGCTTAACACCACCGATGTATTTTGCTTACAATGCTGTCATTTTATTAAATCAATTTGATGGAAAAATAACATACGAAGATTTTTTATTGGAATATCAACGTAAAACGGGCAGTAGTCATTTGTTATATCCAACTGAATAAGTACATTTTCTAACTAAATTTTATACACAATTTTTCATATTTTTTTTATTGTAGTTGGTTCTTATTCCATCATTGGCGAATAATTGATAAGCTGTTCGTTTTAGGCGTTAAAGCACGTTGGAAAATAATGCCGGAAATTATGCTCTACGAAATTTCGTTTTCTTAGATATTGTCTCTGTACATGTTAACCGATTTTTATTAAACAAAGCGCGAACCCCTTTTCTTCTTTGTTCATTATTTTATCTGCGTTAATGAAGATTTTATTTATCGTTAATTTTTAAGAAGAAGAACTAATGTTTAAGCTTTTGTATTTGTGAACATTTTTTCCGTTTTCTTCACTTTCATGTGTCTGTTTTCTTTTTTATATGTACAAAAAGCCAAAAATATTCTGGAAAAATGTCTATTTTTGATAAGATTCTTCACTCTTGATATCAATTTTTCAATGTTTTTTTAAACCATATATTAAAATAGATCCAAATTTGCTGTCGTTTTTTCTACAAAAAAAACTTGTTCTTCTAAGCATAGTTATCATTTTAATCTTGGTTTTAATCTTTTCATTTTGTTTGTGTGTGTGTTTAGATTTGTAGATTTTTTGTTGTGTGCTACGTATAGCTGTTTGTCGAGACTTTTTTTGGTTGTTTTTTTCTCGTGACACGTATTGCTTATTTTAATCTTGAATGAATAAATATGTTCAGAAAGGATACAATGTTAGTGTGAATGATATTTAATAAGAAAATAATGAAAACGTGCGTTTCTTGCCGTTTTATTGAGGATACCGATATGGATCAAAAGTTATGTTTTATTGTGTTAAGATATTTTATACAATAGTGATTTATCTAAGTTTTGTGTTTCCGAGGGGAGCGAATCAAAGTTTGGGGGGCTAAGGAAGTGTTGCGATTGCAAATTTTTAGAGGTAAGTTCCTAAAACCCTCTCTAGATAAATCACTGCTATACAAATACCGATTTTAAACATTACAATTCTTCATAATTTGAACTTAAAACATTGATAAACATATTTTAATGTATTGTACTTATTAGTAAACAGATTTCAAATAAATATCAAATGGTGAACGATTATCTTGATAATCTAATATCAACAGCGAATAAAAAATACAAATTACAGTTGAAAACTGATGAATCCACGGTAGCAAAAAAATAATTATTTCCTGCTAGACCTTGTATCATCATTGATAGCATTGACTTTTTATGTGACAACCATCTTACAGAATGTACTTACGAATGGATACTTGCTGACTTATAAGCAAGTATTTTCAAAAAGAGGCACTCAATAATTACTTGCTCCAGTACCTGATCATGAAAGTACTTAGCAAATATTTAATTTACCTCTTGTACCTCACAGAGTGCTTTGGGGGCACTTGAGCAAAAAATATTTTGGGTAGCTATATGATTAAATGGTTCACAATTTTTTTTTTTCTACAAAACAATAAGATGAAGAACTATTTTTTCGTCAACATGATGGTAATGACATTGAAAATGACATCCTCTGCTTGGCTTAGTACTTGATTTACTTACAAAAAATTTCAAGGATGTTGAACAAAACATGCGAGAGTACTTACGCATTCACTAGGATAGTTCAAACGTTATCCGCAACGTTTTCAACACCTCACACAAAATCAAATGAAGGAAGAATGAGCTCTTGTAGCGCAATCGGTTAGCGCGTTTGGCTGTTAACCAAAAGGTTGGTGGTTCAAGTCCACCCAGGAGCGTTCTTTTTATGTCTTTCTATTTTTGATTAATTCTTTGTTTCACACCAACAGGAGAGAAAATGACGTCTTTTGACTAGATTTGAGTGTCAGAAAAATTGAATCAGCATGATTTTATAGCAGTGAGTCGTTGACATTTGTCTGATTCAGTTGTAACCGAGCCGGTGCCGATCCGTTCCGGTGTAAAAGTTTAGACCGGCCGGTCGCCACCGGTCTTTTGCGGGTCTAGAAAGATTTTCAGACCGACCGGTGATTGACCAGTTTTTTGCCGGTTTTGAAATTAGAAATTATCTCGTCTTCACTAGAAAAAAGTGAGTTTTTCTGCCCTCTTGTCTGTCTAGAAAATCTTTGAAAACTGACCGGCTTTCTGCCGTTTTTTCACTGGTCTAAACATTTTTTCAAAACCGGCAGGTCTTTTCTGGGTTTTTCACTAGTCTAAACCGATTTTTGGACCGACCAGTGACCGGCAGGCCCGGTTCGTTCCGCTGTTTTGGACCGGTCGGTTTTTAGACCGGTTACAACTCTGATCTGATTATGTTTATTGATACTTTCAGTACCATTCTGTCGTTCTGTTCTCTTAATTGTGCCTGACTATGGGTTGAATATGTAGTTAACAGTTTTGGTATTACGTTCGTTTGTGGTGATGACTTTTTTGATCAAATCACAATGTTAATTTTCTGGACTATTATCCTTTGAATTGAACAACTTTTTACTGATGACTAAATTTAATGTCAGTTAGCTGTTAGTCATCCATATTTAGATGACGGGGATTGACATGTCTGTAGAATTTGTTCCATGAATTCAAGGAATCCGGTGATTGGAGTTTTGAAGGCTCATTTCGCGTTAGTATCTCGTGCAGTAATGGTAAACGACTGCCACCAGTTTTGGAGATTTGTTTGTGTGAAACATGTCGATTAATTCCATTGAAACAATTAATATTTCATCATTTCCGGTTTTTGCCGTTGCTATTAGCCATTTCCAGTGATGCAAAAACGCACTTTCATTATTTGCTAGTTTTGCGGTATCTATGCTTGATAATGAATCTTGTTCAATACGAAAAGATCACTTATGAATGTCTTCCCATTTATAAGTGGAATGAGTTACTTGCTCAATTGTTACACTTGACAAAAATGGATGTACCGGAACTTATATTAAAATGTCACATACAAAATCGTTGTGGCCTAGAGTTTTTGATAGCACAAGAATTTCATTAAAAATTTTAAATGAGTTTCTTTTTAATGAAAGTTTTTTTAATGAAAATTTGTTTAGTGAAACTCCGATATCCCCTGTGAGGTAGTGTGAAATTGATAAAAAAAATTTTGTGCGAGGAATAATAGATAAAATAACAACACCTTTTTCAATTATTCGGGACAAGCGCACTCTCCCATTATTTGTGGCTCTGCATCTATTCAGCAGATTAAAGTATCTTTTTATGCGTCTTCCATGTATCTGCATATAAGCGCAAGAAAGTCACATTCCATTTGCATGGAAAACGTTTGAGCAAGAAAGACGCTTAGTAGTCACATCCTCATTGTTGACTTGAAAATATCGATTTATCGACTGATACTCCTTGATAAATGCTTTATTAAACATACGAACCTGCAATCAGTTTTTTTTGCACAAGCGATTTCTAACTCTATGTTCAGATTTAAGCCCATATCGCACGCAAACGAATTGAAAACATTTGAAGGCATTTACTACTTTCTCTGTGTCTTTGTAGAAGTCGCTTTTTCTTTAGAGTGTAAGGTGCTTTCTCGATTTATTCATGATTCTTTTGTGATTCTTCAATGTAATCGTGTACTTTTAATATATGTAATATACCTCACATTCCTTCAAAGTTCATATCCATAGCATTAAAAGTACAAAAACTAAACGTTCTTTTTTTAGTCAAAATGATTATCATGCACTACGAACAATTCGTGTGTAAAGTTACGTTTAAAAATCGATACGTTTCATAGTTTTTCAATTGCTAAACTTACTGATTTACATAAAAAGATGGAAAAATAACTTTTTATGTCATTTTTACTTCTCAGTTTGTTTTTTTCCGTCAGACAGTGTTAATTTCGTATATTAACACCTACAAAAAAAGAGCGTCAAATCAGTTATACCTCATGTTAAGTACAAAATAAAACTTCGACAAAAAAAACCGAGGCGTAAAGTTTGGAAACAAGATCTAGGACTAATGTTGATTTTTCCGTATTCTTAGTTGTTATCAACTATCATTTTTTCTAGCCAAACTTACGCGTAAAAGTTCGTGATCTAAAACAATGTCTTTTGAATTTAGTCTCGTGTATTTTCATTAACAGTTTCAATAAATAAGTAAGTCTCTATTCATTATTATTTTTTTCCATCTTGAAACGTTCTTTCTACAGATATAAAATGGTTATGAATGGATATGACAGGTTTATATTTTGCTATGATGAAATTTTAAATAATAAAAGAGAAAATTATTGGTTATCTAGAATTTAGTTAATGTTTAAATGAATATCGTCTAAAGATTTTTTTTTTCAAGATTATAAACTCATATAGACTTAGTTGTATTTAAGAACAGATTTGTCATAAGCAGACTTTATATGAAAAGTATTTTTTTCTTGAAATCAATAATAAATGAAAAAAAACCAAGACAATTAATTATTATTACAGATGTCATTCAGCACAAAAGGAACCGTTGTTTACTGTTTGTAATATTTTTTTTTGCAATGCAATACTTTCATCGTGACATATTCTATGTATATATTTTATCTCGATAAACGTCTCACTGAACAAACTTGAGAATATCTCTAATTACGTTAATAAGTCGTAGAAGACGTCATCATTTTGATAATTCATTTTATATGAATTCAAATAATGAAATAAAAAATAGTAAAACTATGTGAATGTCTAAAAAAAAAAATGAAGAAGAAAACACAAATTGTCTCTCAATTGACATATAGTTTAATGACCGTAGAAAATGATAATTAGGCTATTTAAACATTTTTTAAACTCATTCGATCTGTATACATAGATCAAATATCATTGAATTATAAGTTAGACTAACTTTTGTGTCAAAAAAAAAGAAAACGTTAAAAACTTAGAAACTATATACATAAGGGTAATAAAACAAGAGAAAAAATTGATGTTCCGTTTAGTTATAATTGATAGTATATATATGTTTGTCATTTTCAATGTCATTACCATCATGTTGACGAGAAATAGTTCTTCATCTTTTCTTATTGTTTTGTAGAAAAAAAAAAAAAAATTGTGAACCATTTAATCATATAGCTACTCAAAATATTTTTTTTTCGAGTATTTCCTGTAATGCTGAAAAACAAAAAAAGAAAAACTAGAATGTTCAAACTGAGCATGAATGAAACTTGAGTTTCAAAAAATGAGAAAAAAAATCTTGAAAATATCCAAATACAATAATCGTATCACCTTCTCAATTGTTTGATTGTCGTTATAAAGAAACGCGTTCTTTGTAGCAAGTGATTATTTTTATATACAAGATGCTGACAAAACGCATTTTGACTCTTTTAGAACTTAGACTTATCTGTCGAGCTTAGTAAAAAATAGAACGCCCTCATATCACACAACAGGGAATATTCTTCTTTATTCTTTTAAATCCATAGTGACATTAACTCTCATTATATTTTTCCTGTATAGAAAACGCTTGGCATGCAAGATATACAGAATTATCCCAATTGTTTTTGTTAGATGGAAAATAATCAACTATTCATATGCACAGGTATTTTTTATTTTATATTCTTCTTCTATTATATATTCATCATCACATTAGCAAATGTAATTTATTGAATATATTTTTTCTTATTTTCATGTGATAAACAGTTTGGAAAATTATTATAGACAGCGTATGCAAAATTTTTATAAAAAAAAAAAAAAAAAGATAAACATTTATAATCAAAGATATTGAATAGTATCTAATTATAAAATGTGTTAAAGAGAATGTCTAAAATATATTATTTTCTATTAAAAGATCATATTTGACTTATGAATGATACTACTCAATCACCTTAATATTATATTCAATCAACGTCAGTATATAGAGTACTATAGAAATAGAATTCCATGCTCTATATCCCGATCGGGATATATTTTGATTCAAAGCGGGATATAAATTTGATTTTTTTTGAATAAAATTCGTTACCGAAAAAATGATGATGTTAGCGGAAAGTTTTGAGCATACTATACAAAAGAACGTAAAAAACTACATCAGATACTTTTTTTCCACTTGTGACCAAGTCTTTTTTTCGATTTGCGACCTTTATTAAATAATTTTTGAAGTTCATATTCTATATCTTGATGAGGATATTTTACTTTTTTAATTAGCTATTTTTAACACTTTCTCGAAATATCTTGACATTTTCTCTTATGCTGTACGTGTATAGAGCAACGACATCCAGTGACATATTCAGGTAAAGTCAAGCTCGTCTACGTGATTCGTCGTCCGAACAGCAACGTAAACGAAATTGTTTACAAAAAAAATGCTCTCGGATGCGAAAATTGCACTCAAAAGTTTAAAGTTTTAAAAATGCCGAAGCGTTTTCATTACTTCAAGTTCTGGCGGCTAATATGTTATGTTCTATAGCATCTTTGCACTACAAGTATCATATTAACTAGTTTTGAGTCATTTTAAGAAACTACGACTATACTGGGGAAGGAAACTACATCTCGATTGAGATATACAAAAAGCAGATATTTCAATCGTCGAGATATTGAAAAAACTAGATATCGATTGGGATATATTTCCTCACTGTATGAGGACAGGTTGCATTAAAAAAAACGGATATTTTTTCTGCTAGAGTAAGTGGTTATTATAAATAAGCGGTTGCTCGGTTACTAATAAAAAAATTCTCTTTTTATTAAAACTAAATAAAGATATAAGAGTCTTAAGTTTTGTTTGCAACTTGAACAACTGCCGTGAGTAACGGCTTAATCAGAATAATAGAACAGTTTATTTCATAACGGCTTACAGATATACTTTTTAATCGGAAAACGACTAATTTAATTTAGGCTTTTTTCATCTAGATCGGGAAACGAAGAGTCTGAGCTCACCTATAATCGATAAGTAAAATATTCAAATAGATGAAGTTTTCAAAAAAGCACCTTAACTCTAATAACTGGAAATTTTATTATACTCAATAATACTAAGTATATGATGATTAAGATTCTTCTTCTATTCTATAAGTACTTCTTTATATTTCAAAAATAATGCAGATAAACATGTTATAGATCATTCGTACACCACCAAACTACATTCCAAATTAAAACGTGTACTAAAAAACGGAAAAGGACTTTTACATCTACAATAAAATACATTTTGTTTTTGAAAATTACGCTTAAACAGGACATAACAAAAGTCGAACTGATCGATAAACTCTCATCCGTTTTCTAATTTCCTGTTTTAAACCGTATCATGCAACATTAAAAAATCTAACTAAAAAAGTCGTATTTTATAATTGAAAATCTCAAAATTCTTTTCCGTATTCTGTTAAACTTTCTTCTTTATTTTTTAAGCGTACATGGGTGGAAAAGGGAAAACTTTTTATAAGCGAATTCAATGATATTCAACGAAAGTGTATCAAGTTCTATCTAAATAGCCTGTTCATTAACAGAAACTTGTTGCAAAAATATAGTTTTTAGATATTTTCTTTGTTCCACTCTAATTTACATACGGCTTGGATCAAAATTAGATCATATAGTTAAGATCAATGTAAGTCGATATTGCTGGTTTTTTTCGAGAAAAAAATATTCTTTTCTTTTCCAGAGAGAACAACTAGTATTTCTCTTTTTTCCTTCGTTTCTTTCAAGAAGGAAAGCTTTAATAGACAATTCTTGTTCTCATAATAAATGCTATGTATTAGAAGTATCAATCAAAAAGTGCATATTGCATCCATACACCTCATGTTTACAAATAGATTAAAAATTAAGTTTTTATTTAGTGAAATCATCATAAATATTTTATCAACTAAGTTTTAGTACATATACGAGAAAAAAAATCACTTGAAAACTGATGTTTCAAGAGATGTTGATAGTTTTTTAAAGTAAGAAGTGACATAGAGAAAGATTTATACTGGTGACGGGTAAAAAATTGACGTTAAATGGCTAAATAGTCAAAAGGTTAGTTCATTTCATCTTCTTATACTTTCCAAGGTCCATTATGGTGTTACGAATGAAGGTGTTAAGAAACTGAACAACGTCTATAATCATTTCCGTTGTAATTCGGATAATTTCCGTTAACTAATTCCTCTTTCGTTAGAATTATATTAGTTAAATATTTGCTATGTGTATACATATATACATATCAAGAGAAAGAGAGAGAGAGAGAAAAAACGAATAAAAAAAAATTTCAAGTGCATTACATAGTGAGAAAATACATAAACATGAATTTCAGCTCTTTTACTGCTGATCTCTTTCCATCTTTCGAATTTTATTCACTTTTTTTTTAAAAGAAAAATTAGATTAAATATATCTACATACTTGTAGAGCAGTATAATCATCATGTACTCTTGTTTCTACAAGTTGAAATTTGTTATTGATAAAAAAAATGGCAACAGTTTCGAAATAATAATCGGTAAGTTTCGTATATCAAACATTTAGAACTGAACTTTTTCATGTGTATATATATCGTACGATAATAAGAAATTTGGTACAGTAAACAAAAGCATATGTATTTTATTATTTTGGAAAAAAACAAATTTTATATTTGATAAAATACTTGGATAGACATTTTGTTAACGAAATCAAAGTCTAATAACGAATTAATGAAAGGAAGCAATACGTTGTGTGGCCACTCGTTAAATTTTTTTAATCATATGCTCTATTAAACAATTATATTTATATTTTTAACTTACATTGATTGACAATGTTTTTTTGATATAAAACATTTCAAAACATCATTTGACTTTTTTATCTTAATTTTTAGATTTATAGTCGTTATGAACAGATAGATCGATCATTCATACTTTTTTCTTATTATATAATCGATGAACACTTTTTTTTTATTGTTTCTACAACTATTTTACGTTATTATCGGAGTATGATAGAATACCATGAAAATAACGAAATATTAGCTCGAACAATAAATATTACATTTCAACATGTAATTATCGATAATTCAACGGGCAATGATGGACTTACAAGACCATTATATGGGACAATACTAGTTGCAATTTGTTTATGTATTATTATTTTATTAACTATTATAGGAAATATTATTGTTTTAATTGCTTTGTCTATCAATTTTGCTTTAAGATCACCGACTCACTTACTAATGGGTAACTTAGCATTGGCTGATCTTCTACTTGGTAAGTGATCTTAATTGTAAAGTGTATTATATGAACCGTTTTTTTTTTGTTAATTTTATTTCAGGTATTACTGTCTTACCATTTTCAGCTACAATTGAAATATTTGAAGGAAATTGGCCATTTGGACGGATATTTTGTCATATATGGTTAGCAATAGATGTTCTATATTGTACTGCCAGTATAAATGGTCTAATGTTTATCAGTATTGAACGTTATATTGGTGTTACTAATCCGTTACGTTATCATATCATAATTACTCATCGTCGTACATTAATTGTTATTTGTAGTATTTGGATATTATCTATACTTATTTCTGTTGCACCATTTTTTGGTTGGAAAAAATTTGATGAAATTAAATTAGGTACTAAGACATGTTTTATTAATGATGAACCATCGTATGTTCTATTTTCTTGTTCATTTTCATTTTATATACCGTTAATTATTATTTTATGTGTTTATACGCGTGTTTATCGTGAAGCTAATAAACAATCGAAATTTCTTTACGGAAGTGGACATAAAAAATTAAAAGTTGATCATAATGAAATAACATTACGTGTTCATATTGTTCAATCGGCATCAAACGGACATCATAATACATCAACAAATCATTTAAATGGAAAAAATCTCATTACAGTGCCAAGTAAACTTTCAAGGTTTAAGCGTGAAAGAAAAGCAGGTATATTTATATTATATCTAAATTAATTATTATTATATAATCTCTAGTTTTAATATTTTAAGCAAAAACATTGGGAATTGTTGTTGGCATGTTTATATTATGTTGGTTGCCATTCTTTGTTCTACTACCAATAAGTAAGTAGAACATAGAGAAGGACAGTTTTTTTATAATCAAACTAACTAGCTTTCATATCAAACCTTCAGTTTTCTCGTAAAATATATTGTATAATAACTGCATTTTTATCCTATAATCAACCGCTTAACACGTTTATCTTTCTAGTCTACAAGAAAAAATAAGATTATAGAAACGGTAGAGAATTTTTAGGTTGTCTAGGGTTAAAATCAATCCAATATTGAAAATTAACAGTAATTCTTTCATAGAACTCACTAATTGTTTGATAGTTCTTCACGCGCACGAATAGAAAACAAAATCCAATTTAAATCATGCGATTATAATAAAACAAGAAAATTTTTTAGAGAAGATGTATGACATTTTCCTTCCTTCTTTTTGGCGATCAAATCAGTTCAAATTTGATTATTATAAAAAATAATGATCTCTCTCTCTCTCTCTCTCTCTCTTTTTTGCTAATAGATGTAAAATTTGGGACTAAAGAATTTCTTCCGATTTTTTTTCTTCTGCTTTTTTTTAGGTTAGACATGTTAATTTTATATAAATACAAATTATATGCTTGAAATACGCGCGACATATGAAAAATAATAAGAGACAAACATCTTTGGAAAACTTCTAAAAATCGATTCTTTTTTTTCTGAAGAAGATCAAGTGCGAAAGAAAAAATCAATGGAAATGAGGAAATAAACGCAATGGAGGAAAACATGTCATTGATTTTCTCTATTACGAAAAAACATCTTTAGAGAATTTTTTATTCTGATTTTGCTAATAAAGATCATGGGAAAACATCTCACACTTATATTCAGTTCAATGAATAAAAATATAGGCCTGAGAAATATGAGAAGGACTTTTTTCCTCTACCACTTTCAAGGAATGGATAGATCCGGAGCAGATGAGAGTGCAGTTATCTGTTTCCCATTCCACTGTAGATGAAACAACTTACTCTAGAGATTTAATCTTACATAGAATATTTGCAAGAAAAGAATCATATAAAAATCTTGTAAGTGTCCTTATATAAGGCAGTTGATGGAAATAGCTAAGAGTGATAAGATTCGTATAAGAATATAGTAAGATTCTCACAGGATTCTTACACTAGGTTTGATGCAACTAGCTCAGTCGTTTTGCTAGTCAGTCATTTAGCAAAAAAATCGAAGTGCTCTGTTTTCCGATCTAAGTGTAGAATATGGATCATATATTCCCAAAAAAAAATTCTCAAGATTATGAGAAAATACTTCGATAAAAATTAGTCTGAAAACACCTTGAGGTACAGTAAAAATAAGTTTTTCATTAAAGTCAACCAAAAAACGAAAAACGACATCGATTATAAATCTAGGCTCTTTTTTGGCTAAATCAATGAAAACATTTCTCAGTTTGGACTTATAGTGTTGGAGAAACAAATTTATTTTCCAGGCTAACTAAATTTCTGTCGATATGTGATCAGTGTAAGAAGTTTTCGTGTAAGAAATTTTCCGAAACTCCAAACTTCGTCAAAATGTTTATCGCTATACAGAATAAGATTTTTTCTTGCGAGAATAGCATTTTTAGATACAGAGAGTCATTTTGGGCGCAAAACAACTCATGTCTACAACTTAATTCACATTTAACGCAAACAACTTAACTCACACTGAATGGAATGAGATAAAATATCAACTATTAACAACATTTGTTTGTTTTGTCTATCTCTTGCGAAAGGAGGTCACTTTAACTATCCTGCATTCTAAAGAATTTTGACAGTAAATGAAAAAAGTCTGCAGATAAGAAATAATTATTATGATTATGAGATAATATGCAGGACTGAAGAACAAAATAAAAGTAAAACAATTTGTTTAGAGAAAAAACTTCAGCCAACGCTGAAAAATTCTGACTACGCTACTGATGATTATGTGATACTAATACCTATCAGTACCGCACTCTAATTAATACTAAATTAATTAAAAACAGCCATAATAAAAAATGAATTACTGTCCTACAAAAGTTTTTTAATGCTGCACTGGTAAAAATCAAACCAACCATTGTTTTTCTTTCCGTAAAGGTATATATCAGCAGAGAAAGAAGAAAACAACTGTTTTTTATTTCTTTTCTGCAGAGAGAAAAGACATAGTTTTAAAATTATGATTTTTAATGAAAAGAAATTAAAAACACTTGATGCAATCAATATCTTTCTCATTGCTCTCATCTATTTAGTTACTCGTTGTCTCTGAATAGTAAAAACGAAAATCAGTGATTTTAGCTGATAATGTAACAAACAATAGATACCTTACTAAAATCGATTACAACGTTTAAAATGATTTTTCTCTAAAAGAAAATTAACTATATAGAATGCTTGTACAGCTGCTGTCCTAATGAACTGAGAAGAAAACGCTTAAAGTAAAATAAAGTGATGACTCTAAACTAGATAGGCGATACGGTACAAAACTTTATAGATCTTCCAGGCAGTTGACACTAAGATAAGTAGAAAAAATGTTAGAATGTGCCGATATTCTGTAATCAAAGTAGAGAGTAACAGGAAAAAAATATCCTACACTTGCAATTCTCTAACTTCAGATTTTTATATGGTTAGACGCTCTGATTGAGAGAAATAAAATTTCTTATGCTGACAGAACAAAATATTATTAATTTTACAAATAATCTTATAAGTCATCTTGCCAAATTTCTTATCATTATCCCACATATTTCCACCAACTGCCTTACATGAGATACAAGATTTCATTGTTGATTTCCAAAGTATACCCTTAACCATTGAAAAACTTGACACTTTAAATATTATAAAATTTCTTTTCAGAGGCCTTATCATCAGTTGATCCTGGTGTTATATTCTCTGTTTGTTTCTGGCTTGGTTACTGTAACAGTTGTTTTAATCCATTTATATACGCGTTTTCTAGTCGCGAATTCCGAAAGTAAGTTATATAATATTTTATTAAACAGCTTTTATTTGATATAGAATATATTCGTTATTTTTCTTTAGAGCATTTAAAAGTATCTTGCGATGTCGTCCCCATTATAAAAAGACATCAAGTATGTACAGAATATCAAGTGCAATTGAAGGATTGCGTTTAAAATCTGTGGCGAGTTTTGATCTGTCAACAAATATTCCGATGAGTGCATCGATGACTACATATCGTGCATCATTGGAAAGTCAACGGCTTTTCCCATCACCTCATTATGACTCTCGAAGATCACAAGCAAAACGTTTATCGACAGATACATTAAGTATTAGAAGTATCAATGATCGAAGATCAAGTCAAACTAGATTACAAAAACAAACAAATTAACAATGATCGCATATAGCGAATAAAATGTCAGATAGAACAATATAGTAAGAGAAATTGTTAACTATATATTCTTAATTAAATGAATGAATTTTTGCAATAAAATAATTTATACATGTAGTATCAATTGTGTGAATTATACACATACTCTGTACAGACATAGATTAAAATTCGAAAACAAAACGCTGTACGTTAAAAAAACGAGATTTCTTATAGCGGACGATGCTAACGATAGAATTTAGAAAAGAAATGAGATAATAATTTTTTGTTGTCAAATAGTGAACGATGAACTTTTATATTTTGCTTTTGTTATTGAAATAATTTTTCTTCTTTAAAAACACGGTTATATACCCGTTTGATTCTTCGATAGATACTCCTCAACGATCTTTTGAACAAAATAATCGAATGTTCAAATACTAACCTAAAATAAGCGCACCTTCCAGCACCGAAATGATTTTTTTGAACAGGCTGATGCAATCTTTAACTTACTTTTAGTCAATTAAATAAATCGCAAATTTGAGATGAGTTATTTGTTCTCCATAATATTCATAGCTAATGAAATTTGAAAAAAAGTAATGGTAAAGCCATAAAAATATCTCGTTAAAAACTTAACATCACGAAAAATGATGTCACATTTTTACCGTGACCAAAATAGTGAAACCGTTGTATTGTATATTTTTAATTAGTTAATTGCAAAATTCTGTTCACTTTCCGAAGTAAATAGAATCGAAGAAGCATTGTTTCCACATCTTTGTGGTTCTGGAGTACAAATACAAGATTAAAACAAAGGGAATTAATAGTATTTAATCTGGAGTTGAATAAATGATTTTTATTTTAAATGCTGCTTCTCATAGTATGGTTTTCTAAACCTTTACTGACATCAAAGCTAAGAAGAAAAGTAACTCTTATTGTAACGCACAGATCGTATTTCTTGTACATCTCTATCATTCTTGACACAGACGATAAACAAACAAGAAGGCATGTTTGTTTGGAGATAAGATAACTTCCTAGAGCTAGTGTTTATAGGTTTATTTCGGCATAATCGATTCGAGCAACTTTTCCTTTTTTTAAGAGGATTTTGTCTTAGTTATTTTTACTCTTCAAAATATAAATGAATTAACGTTTTGCCATATTGTTCTATTATTTTCTCTTATGATTAACTTGTTCACCGAAGATCAGACATTCATTTTCCATATTTTGTGGACAAATACACGTACACAAATTAAGGTAGTTAATAATTGAATACAGATGTAAAAAATGTGATACCATACTGTTCACAGGCAAAGATTTGGTGTCTTATCGTCCAGGTAATGAAGATTTTGAACTGGGGTTTACAAAAAATCTCCACATATAAACGAAAAGAAAACGATTTGAGTGCAGCTAAACTCGATATGAACGATTATCAACAAGAATTATTTACACAATATCTTGATTGATTATTGGACGCATTTAATGCGAATGATGACGATATTGAATATTTCAAATGTAAAACAAAAGTTGGATGCTATTCGCTTATTGGAGAAAAATGAACATGTGTCAAATGGCATTTTCATTATAGTAAAATTGATCAGCATGTAACATAAAACAATGATTTAGAAAAACTATTACAAGAATGATCCTCCGCACAAAAGAATGAAATAAAATAACTGTCGTAGAAAAATCACTAGAAGTTGGTAAAATAAAAAGAACTGAGATGAATGAAACTAGTTCACATATAAATACAAATATCGTTAGTTGAAAACTTATATTAAACAATAATTGTATTATTGATCAACTCGAATGATCAGTAGTATTTGAACGACGTATAAAAATTAATGAATCAGAAAGCGTTTTGGGCTCTTGAGTATACAATTTGTATAAAATTTTTGTCTAGTAGATTCATTTTATTGTCGATTTTAATAAGATGATCAAATAGTCCACTGGTGGAAAGTCTATTCGTCTTCAAGAAATTTATCTAGTTTGGGAATTTTTTGCAGTATGATAACTTTCCATGGGTGGAACTACTGTATCCAACACATTCTATACTTTTGTCAAAGATCTCGTCGAGTCATATTTAATGCATATGATAATTAAAAACTGTGTATAGCTACGATACAATAATACAAATAATAATACTTACGAAACGGATTCACAAAATTATTTGTAGAAAGGGTTTGCCCATAGACGTGTATCATGAACCATAACCGATATATCCCCCTGGCCAGAAATAGTTAGACTCGGTATTTTGAATAAATGATCACTATAAATCAATATTTTGGGAAAAGTAATTATAGATTCGGATAGCCCGTGAAATTCTCTACAAATTTCTATAAATATCTTTTGAATTGCGTTTGTCTTCGGAAAAAAATTCAAGCTCAACAAAGGCACCCTCATCATCAGATTCCCCAAGAATACATTTTTTTCTCTTTTTTATTCATCTTTTCAAATTTATTTTTAATATACGAACAAGTTATTACAAAACTAAGTGTGTAATCCCGAAGTACGTGAAAGCGTCTATCACCCGGTACTTTCCCAGCCATGATTGGCTATTATTTGATTACAAATATTTGGCACATGATTTATATATCCACGTATAACGTTTTGAGGAATTGCGTTCCATGCTTGCTGAACTAAACGTTCTAAACGCTGTTGAGAGTTTGGATGGTTTCTCTGCACGTATCGATTCATCCAAGACCAAATACTCTCAACAGCATTGAGATCAGGACTAACAGCGGGATAGTTGTCTACGCATCTGATATCGTTACTTAATAACCAATCATGTGCTAAATATTTGTAATCAAATAATAGCCAGTCATGGCTGGGAAAGTACAGGGTGATAGACGCTTTCACGTACTTCGGGATTACACACTTAGTTTTGTAATAACTTGTTCGTATATTAAAAATAAATTTGAAAAGAATAAAAACGAGAAAAAAATGTATTCTTGGGGAATCTGATGATGAGGGCGTCTTTGTTGAGCTTAAATTTTTTTCCGAAGACAAACGCAATTCAAAAGATATTTATAGAGATTTGTAGAGAATTTCACGGGCTATCCGAATCTATAATTACTTTTCCCAAAATGTTGATTTATAGTGATCATTTATTCAAAATACCGAGTCTAACTATTTCTGACCAGGGTGTTATCTTGTCGAGTTCAATCGAATGGTGTATTTGATATCATTTGAATAATTTATAATGACCATGAATAGGCATATACCGAGTAATTGACTAAAGATTTTATATTTTTTCCAAAACCTGACGTTTCATAAATTTCTTCGTTAAAAATTTTCTGACTCAGTAAGAATATAGAGCAAACATTTCTCTAAAAAATGAGAGATTGGACAGCTCTGTATGATTTATTTTTAGGTTTTGGCAGCGATGCCTTCCTAAGGGACTACTAATCGAGTACTCGATACTCGTTTACTAATCGATTATGTGTTCTTGTCAAATCATACAGAGCTGTTCAATCTCTCATTTTTTAGAGAAATGTTTGCTCTATATTCTTACTGAGTCAGAAAATTTTTAACGAAGAAATTTACGAAACGCCGGGTTTTGGAAAAAATATAAAATCCTTTTAATCAATTACTCGGTGCATGCCTAGCCATGAATAATGCAAAATACTTGAAAAAAACAATACAGACATCCATTTATTTTTACTCTGAATATTGTTGCACACATATTTCTATAGATAAAAATTAGTGTTAAATACACTTTGACGAGTTAACACTAGAACGCCCGGAAATTTTCATGACCTAGAACGCCCAAAGCGGTCATTTTGACCGTTACTATTTTATATTTAAAAATGATTCTGAATTAAAAAATGAATTAAAAATTCTGCAAAAAATAACTTTTGTGAGACAAATTAAAAGTTATGACATAATTTATTTTTAAATAAATTGTATGCAGTTTGTTTTATTAAGGATAAAAATCACAAAACGGTCAAAATGACCGGCTACGGGCGTTCTAGTGTTAAATTCAAATATATTTTAGATTATTTTTTTGTACCTATAGTTTTGGCGAAAAGTACATGGCACACTCAAAAATTGTGTATTATTCCCAAATATTCTTTCTGTTACGTATGTTACGATAATATTTTATATCAACATTAAGAGCTGATAGTAGTAGACGAGTGTTTCTAATATCTAATATAACGAATGATCAAGGCGGTATTGTCAAGATGGATTATTGATACATGAAAATCGGAATCAAACGAATATCTGTTACAATTAACCATATGAAAAAGGATTAATTTTGAGCTCAAGAAACATACATTAGATTTAACAACAATTGAATTATCTATTAGTGTTTGTGTCCGGTTATTTTTTATTCTTATATACGAAAGACATTTTTTTTCTATTGAACATACTTTTACGAACAAACATCTCAAAAAAATAGCCTAATTCGAACCACAAGAATAGAAAAATAGAGAGAAGGTTTAATCTGTTCAACAGAGCAAAAGAAAAAAAAAGAAAAAGTAAAATACCATCAACAAAAGCCCATTTATCACAAGATAACTTTCACAAACTGACCTTCATCTTTAACAGAGGCTTAACTTAGACACAAACAGAGTTCTAATTCGAAGACAAAAAAAAAAAAGGAACGATCTAGACTATCAATAAACACATAGATTACACAATCACATTTATTTGTACATGCGCGTAAGAAAAAGAGATGTTATCAAATAAGACCAAATGCTGTTTGTTCTTTGTCCATTGCCCGATCACAATTAGTTTTAACGCGTTTCAATTGATCATAATAATTAATTAATTCAGGATCGTTCAAGTTCATAATTTCTTTCATATATTTGTCAAAAAATAATGAAGCAACAGCCATATTTCCAGACTGATAAGGTGATGATGACGTTACTGATGTATTATAGCCATTCATATTAGCTGGCGAAGATGCAAATGTTGTATTATTCAATAACATTGATGATGGCCTGTTATAACTAAAAAATAATAAAAACACAATATCTTTAAGCTGAATCTCTAAATTCTACTCGATTTATTTAACTGACTAGCAAGACTAATATTTCTAACTGAAAAAATAACTCTTTATTATTTCTTTTAATTATGCTCTTACCTATACTGTTTAGTATGATCTAAATTAGCTGGATTTTTATCAAACGTTAATAATAGTGCACAAATTCCACGTAATAATTGTCTTTTTTGTGTCGATGTTGATGTTTGTCTATAAGATTGATCATATGATGTTAATAATTCTGATTGAGTAAAACCTGACTGTAATAAAAGATTAACAATCCAATCATATGGAATTGATGTTTGATCTCCATCATCATCGTTATTCTGTTGATATAATATTTGTTCTAATTCATTAATAAGAAAATCAATGGGTACACGTAAACGTTTTTTTCTACATGTTTTCAATCGTTCAATTAAATGTTGTTGAAATAGTAACATTTTATCATAATATGAATGATTTATTAGTACAAGAACATCATTCAACTCTTTTCGTAATAAACGTTTCCATATTGTATACAATATTGTTTGTTCTTCATTTCCATCCAATTGTAAGAGTAATAATTGACATTCGTATAATTCAAATTTTTGTGCATAATCAACAAATAATTCAGTGGCATCATATAATTTCATATCTAATTTTTGTAATGCATCAGTTACAATTGGTACTTGTTGTTGTTGATCATTTGTAGCATTACCATGATTATTTTCTAATATATTTAAATATGTTTGTAAATCTGAATAAATTTGTTTTTGTATAAAAGCTGTTTGTAAACGTTGTTCAATATTGGGTATGAGTTCATTTAATGTCTGATGATTTTCTTGTTGATGACTACGCTTTTGAGGTATTAATAGAGATGGAAGAACATTGGATGTAGATGGCGTGATTGTGGCTTGAGCTGAACGAGCTATTTGCAATGATTCGGCTAAATAATAGAGTCGATCGGATAATGTGACATGGGAATCATTTAAATCAACCAAATGGATTAAAACCTGAAAATTTCGAAATAAAACATATTTAAATTTTCAAATGATGTACCGAAGATTATATCTTCTTGTTGTCATAAAATAGTTTTAAAAAATCTAAAAAATTACCTGACATAATGTTGTATGATCTTTAACAGTTTGTAAGATAATAATGGCTACGTCCAATGTTAAATAATCACTATAATTTGTTAATTTCAAACGATATCGTATAAATCGTTCAATATAAGGTGTTGTTCGATGAAGTTTGATCTTGTCATTTAGCTGTTTTGACATTAGCCAATCAAATATTTTAACATGAAGAAATTCATCATCAAATGATAAACATAATTGTAAAAATTCATTAAACGATGGTGCTTGATTTATTGTTTGTGGTTGAGACTGTTGATTATAATTAATATTTGTCATATCATTTTTTGTATTTAAATAATCTCGTTCATAGAGTAATTCAAGAATATTCAATATGGCAAGATAACATTCTGTTCGACGATGATATAAATCAATTAATTGTTGTTGTTGATCATTCTCATTCAACTGATTATAGTAATATGTTAGTGCTTGATTGCATGGATCACGTTTTTTACCCGATGTTATACATAAATCAATTAAATCATCGTACATATGAAATGTGTACAATGTCATACAGAACGGCGTTATATTAATACGATCACATATTTGTTTATATAAATGACACGCTTGCTTTAACCGTTGTTGTTTATCAATAAGTCCTCCTCCACTAGTAGAGTCAGCTGTTGTACTAGGTTTAAGAAATATATCTACTTTGTATAATATCAATTTTTCAACGGGAAATAATTTTGGACATTCATCGAGTAAACGTCCTACTAATTGATCGAAACCGGCTTCGTTCTGTTCAAATGATATCAACAATGCGGCAATTAAATTATCAAAAAATATAATATCCAATTCTAATAATGTGTGAATGGTAAATGATGATGGATTATTACTTATCAATTGTAAATATTGCTCGGGTAGACGATCAATGATCATATCTGTTCGATTTTCATTTATTATTTGCCATAATGAGAGAAGTTCTAATAAACGCTCAACTAAATTACATATTGTTGTATAATAGTCAATTTCATGTAGCAGATCATTCATTGAAGATAAAGAAGTTGTGGATAAGAGTAGCTGATTTGTCGTGACCGCTGCTGTCGGTGCTGACGTTTGTATTGATGATGGAAATAATGAGGGTGTTGTTAGATTTTGCATCGATGAATTGTTATGAGCTATCGATGATGTTTGTGACATTCCGAATTGTGGTGAACGCGTTGAAGCACCTTGAGAGCCAAATAACGAGGTGTTGAACACGTTTGAATTCCCTAGAGTGAAAAAATTACAAGTACAGATATATGAAATACCATTATTCATTTCTGTTAAAATTTTGAAATGACATTCTGTGAACTTTTAAGATGCGCTAAAATGCGCCCGACTAAATAAAATTCTCAATAGCTGGATTTTTTTAAAAATATAATTTAGTACGCAGACATTCTCTCACCCATTGTTGGTGAAACTCCTGTGCCTGAAATATTTGGATAACTTTGTGAATGGGGAATTTGTTGTTCCTGAACACGTGGTGTCATTATAGAGGCACGCTGAAAATTTGTTTGGTCCATAATGTTTGGTGGTGATGTGTGAAACAGTGGTTGATTTTGATATTGCTGTTGTTGTTGTTGTTGTTGTTGCTGATAATGAGCACGTTGTGCTAATTGTTCATTATATTGTGGAATATCATTTGCAGACCATGTACAACACATATGTGGAGCTAATTTTTTTAGAAAATACTGTAATTGTTTTAATAATTGTTTTATGTCATTATAATGGTCAACTTTATGAAATAGATAATAAAATTTTTTATCTGACTTAGTCGATGTTAATGTTTTTAATTCAATTAATGGTTGCAACCATATAGGCCTCAATATATCACTCAAGACAAATAATATGGAATTGATACGTAATGGAATAATATAACGTTCAAAATAGCCATGTTGACGCAGATATGTTGGAGGCATCATTGTTGAACGAGCATTACACGATTGCTGCTGATTTGGATATCGACTATTGTCTAAGAAGAGAATATACGATTATAGTAAGGCTACTAAAGAAGCTTCTTCCAATGATTAAAAAACACTGTTTGATCGACTCGTTTCAATGAAGGAAAAGTTTTGTTTTAACCTGTTTATGTTCAAGGATCGTTTAAACGATCATTACTCTGGCGACTTACAATTTACTCCATGGCAGCTTGTATAGATCCATTTAACGCGTATATCTATCTATATATATATTAGCGTGAAGGTTTAAGACTAAATTATTGCCCAAACATCAGCCTTATTAACTTTTTTTTGAAAAAGTTACCTATTTAGGCTATTTTGGTAAATATTTCATTTTCATGTACAAACTGTACGTATGAATGGGATCCCATAAAATTCGAAATCTTTATCCTCAGGGGATCGTATTACGAAAAAACTTAAGCCGTGATTCAAGTCTAAGATTAAAAGTTGGTGATTTGTTTACTTTTTGAAAATCGTTCACAACAATGACAAACTTCGGATAAAAACCCGCAAAATGAAGAAATATTTATTCTCTAAACCGCCTTAAAAAGTTTCGTCAAATCATATCGTTAAATGCCTGACCTATTCGAAAAATGCGTCAATGACTTAAGTTTTCGGTCTTAACTTTAACACTACGTTTCCCATGACTTAAGTCACTCTTTGACTTACATTTTTTTGTAATGCAGTTTGAGTCTGAGATGAAGACTTAACTGTGATGTAAGCTTCGGCTTAGGCTTAAAAACTTTTTGTAATACAGCACCAGACCCCAAAATGAAATATGGGCAAAGGGGTTAATTAAAGGCTAATATTCTTACCATTGCGACGTATTTCAGAACGAGCACTCTGGCAAAACATAATTCTGTCGGAGTAAAAAAAGCTACTGATGCAGTGACTTAAACGAGTATTAAAAGGACATCATCTAAACATGCGTTCGACTTACCTAAATTAAATGGCGTTTGTTGCTGTTGAGAACTTGTTAGCAATAATGTTTCTAAGTATTGCATATATGTTGAACTTGAATACCATAGAAATGTTTGAAATGCTAATTCTCGAATTCGATCATCATTTATTCTCAAATAAAGACTATTATTTGTAGATCCATTATAGAGAAAATTTTCTGACTGATTTGTATTTGAATATGTCAATGTTAATGCGACGCTCATTGAACATGAATAGCGTAATGAATAATGTTGAAAAAATTGTTTAATTATATCCGAATGTATTTGTCCGTCATAAAATAATAATAATCTTAGATGTTCGATTGTTTTTGGTATTTCAAATGTTATTATAGAATCGTACGTTTGAATCATATAGCGCTGATTAATAGCCAATGGTCCAATTCTTGGTAATGATAAATAAGATGTAGATGAATACGGATTATTGTTTAGTTCAAGAATATTCAAGATAAACAAGGATATTTGATCTTGAATAAGAAATAATTCATTGAATAATTGCGATTGATTCTCATTTGACGCTTGAGTCTGTTGCTGATTCATTGTATTGTCACCAAAATTTCTAGATAATAATGTTGAGGATGTTAGCAAAGTAGTATCAGAATTAATTAACAATATCATACGACCATAAGTTTGTGGTCGATACATATCTGTTGTAAATAAAAACAAACACTTTAAATCAACATAAGCTGTACGAAATAAAGGTTGGTGCAATTGAGTTTGTAAATTGGGTATTGTTGGAGCATAACGAACATGAATTAATTCAAGACGAGCTGGCTGTTGTTGTTGTTGTTGTTGCTGAGTCGCAGAAGCGGACGTGCCTACAATAGAAAAATAAACTTAGTTAGATTCTTGCGAAAGGAAAAATATCAAAGTATCTATACATAAGTCTTGACAGTAGATAAAAAGTTTATGTACATTTAAAAATATAATTCGACAGTTTAATGCAAGCGAGTTCCTTTCGTTCTTTATTCATGCAATAAATTCAATTTGAAATTCTTACATGTTTAGAATGACATTGGTTCCTAAATAGATTTTTGATCGATGTTATTCGAAAACAGTCAGTACCTGTAGTTGAAGCTGCCGTTGTTGGTATTGGTTGATTATTTGCTGTGATGAATGTGTAATATAATCGAATACCTGTATGTGTAACAAGAATTAAATTAAATAAATTTGATTCATATAATTGAACAGTATACATTGTTAAAAATGGTTTATAATCGTCAATGGATATTGTCTGACGTTGTTTTAATTTCATGATTAGATCATCAAACGTATATGCAAATAATCTTTGTCCTTTTTCATTCGATATATCATAGATATGTAATGTATCATTTGCTAAACGTGCATATAAAAGTAATCGTCCATAATCAATCGTTATTTGTTTAACTGATGAGGATTGTGCCGATGATTTTAGTCCGCTTTGTAAAAATGTTGGTAATAAATTTGATAAAAATGTCTGTCCTAACTTTGTAATAGAACATTTATTGTTCGTTAACGTATCATTATAAATAAATTCGTGAATATCACCGTATTGACCACCAAGAAAGAATCGTCCACTGAAAGTACTAGCTAAACAATCAAAATAGCCAATTTGCTGTAAAGAATATTTAATTGTAGGTGTGGTGAACCACTGTGGCTGCTGTTGCTGTTGTTGATCTATTGTGTATAAAACAATATCTTGTCCAGTCAATACGATCAATAAATATGTGTGATGTTCTATAAGATCATTTGTTGTTAATGTTGGAGGAATGTTTGAGTTTGACGATGAAAACCAGGATGTAAAAAATGATGATGCGTATGAAGATGATGTGGATAATAGAGATGTATCATTAAGAGTCGTCTGTTTTTGACGTTTTACACAATCACAACTGAATATGATTGAATCAAATTTTAATTCAATTAAATCGATCATTGTGGGATACTTCCATAAATATAATTTTTGATCAACTGATAACCATAGCATATTTAATAACTGAAGATAGCCACTTCGATAAACTGATGCATTTACATTTTCATTATTATCAATTATTGTCGATGGTATCTGACTAATGGTTGCCGATGGAACACTAATACGATTTGAACGATCGTAGGGATAAGAACGAGTATACGAGCCATCTGTACCACCACTAATGGTTAAAACAGATGATAATGTTGTCGATGAAGAACGAATGACATATTCAATATCCGTAGATGGTGTTAAATGAACAAATTCGTTAAGCCACATCGAAATTTGTTGATATGAATCACGATCATCTGAATCAGTGGAGGGAGGAAGTGGAGATGAAGAAGGGGATGAGGTAGCCATTTAAACAATGATACAAGCTTCTAATTGACCGTGATAACGCAAAATGATAACTAGGACAATCTCATTGACGTTCTTTGTTTTATCTAAAATTAAATATGGTCTTTAAACCGCAAATAATCAACAAATGATTTTTGTAAAACATTTCTGTTGCTTTACATACTATACAAATAAGCGAATATTTTTAAAAATGTATTAGTGCTTAATCAAATCCGATATCTGCCCATATTGTAAAAATCAGCCAACTTTCAACAATTAGTTTGGTTTAGCAATTAGTCATGACTCTTATAAAGAGCCTTAAAAAGTCGCCGTATTGTCAGTCGACGACTTTGGATGAAGTCGCAAGCAACCATCGAGTTTTTTTCTAAAACCGCGATTAATTAGGAAAAAATTCTGCTTAAAAATCGCAATTAAGCGCTTGACTAAGTGGCAATTCCTTGACGACTTTGACGACATAGATCTTGTGCAATAGAACTATTTTTCTTCGGCTTTCTCGAATTACCAATCAATGACAGTTTCTGATAGAAATAACTCACAACTAAATTCTGAACCAAAAATAAGACTTGCGGAGATTTTCTGTCAGATAAGATATAATAGTTTAAAAGACAGAAAGTGTATAAATTATACAGGGAGAATCCGCCCTCATTGTACAGCCTACATCTGGCAATGAAAAGAATGAGAGCAGGGGAAAAGTAAACCGCCAGCACAACATCCTGAAAGCAAAAGAGTTAGTAACATCTGAGTTTTGAATGATTGGTGGATGAAACGAGAGTAAAATGCGTCTCCACTTTGAAAATTTGATTTTTAGTCTGTTTTTCACAGAGAAAACGTGGATAATATGGCGGTAAAGTGTGGAAACCCACTTTGCTCTTGTTTCACCCACCAATCAATAAAAAAACATATTGAGTAATGCTACAGCATGGTGATTATGGTTTATTTGTTGTCTTTTTGTCGGTTTTGTCTTTCTACAACACAGCGCAAATAAATATATACAGGCCACTCTTATTCAAATCTTCGATAGCTGCAAAAACAAGGCATTTTTCAACTTACTCTCTGATGAGATACTCTGTTTATAATTAATTATGTACTCAATAATAATAGTTCACGCACTATACTCGATGTTTGTTCCTAAAATTAGTTTTCCAGAGTAAACAGCTAGAGCAATAAGAGAATTTTTCTTATTTATACTTTTATAATTTACTTATTCATTCTTCTCATCATATCTTTGTTAGCATTTGTCTGTGTGCACTAATAAATAGCAGAATTTTGGGGCCTGTTTCTTAAAAAAACTTAAGTAGAAAATCTTACTTAAGTCAAAAAAGACAAAGACTTTTTTTTTTGTTGAGTTTGACTTAAGTCAAATTTTCTACTTAAGTTTTTTTAAGAAACAGGTCCCTGGACAATTTGAGAAGATTAGCGAACATCTTTTCTTGTCTGTTCAGCGAATTTCTTTTTTTAGCGTAGGTAAATCGTTCTCCCATTTTAAAGAGGCGACTTCCGAATGATTATAATACGGCTTTCCACTATAAGTCTTCTACTTCCATCTATTCACAACCACAGTATTAGAGACAAGAGATTTGTTTGCATGTCACCATCATATATCAGCTGAATATATTACCAGTCAGTTTGATAACTATCGCAAAATCATTATCTATCTCTTGCTAAAAATCATAGGCACACTGGGAAAACAGTAATAACTAAATTTTTAGTATATTTTGAATGCAATAATAATATTAAATTCTCTTTTTTTTGTTTTAATTCCATAAAACAAACGAGTTATGTCACTTTCGTTGCATGCGAGTGTGTATGTATTTCTTGCCTCTAAAAAGCCACACATTTCTTTCTAAACCAAAAAATTTAAAAGAAATTTCTTTACTTATCATTTTTTGTTCTTATATATATTTGCTGATTTTTATTGTTTTTAACATTTGTTTCTTGAATTTACGATACGCACGTATTTCCTCTCGCTCAAATAGTCATTGTATGTCTTCTGTTTTTTGTACGTTTGAAGTTATATTTTTATTTTCTTAACTAAATAATTAGTTTAACAATCCTTTTTCTCTATTTCTTGTACAGTTTTCATCGCATTTTCTGTATTTTTGTTGTTTTTTTTGTTTAAAAACTGTATAATTGTTTGTTCAAATAGAGAATACAAAAATTTATGTTTATTTCTATGAATTCATTTACTCCAAACGTAGAATTAGCTAAATCTGGAGATACTGTTATACTTAGCTCATAACATTCAATGACATATGTAGACATTTCATAAAGTGATTTTGGCGAATTAGAACATCGTGGTCTTGTTTTCTTTTTGTTCTAGATCAGTCATTATGTCTGATTTATCGGATCTTGATCGTCAGATTGAACAATTACGTCGTTGTGAATTAATAAAAGAAAATGAAGTAAAAACATTGTGTACAAAAGCACGTGAAATATTAACAGAAGAAAGTAACGTTCAATGTGTCGATTCACTAGTTACGATATGTGGCGATATACACGGACAATTTTTCTGATTTAATGGAATTATTTCGTGTTAGAAGTGATGAAACTCTTTATCGAAATATTTTTTGAATAATTTTACAATTTATTTATTTAAATGATGTACCTTAACAAACTATTTATTTTTGGGTGATTTTGTTGATCGTGGTCTTTATAGTGTTGAAACATTTTTGTTGTTATTAGCATTAAAAGTCCGATATCCTGATCGTATTACATTGATACGTGGTAATCATGAATCACGACAAATTACACAAGTATATGGTTTTTATGATGAATGTTTAAGAAAATATGGAAGTGTTATGGTATGGTATGGCGTTATTGTACAGAAGTATTTGATTATCTAAGTTTATCAGCAGTTATTGATGGAAAAATATTTTTTGTTCATGGTGGTTTGAGTCCATCGATAAACATATTAGATCAAATACGTCAGATCGATCGAAAAATGGAAGTACCACACAATGGGCCCATATGTGATTTGTTATGGTAATGTAACGTGAAAATCAGAGGTGCAGAATCTACCCGTGAGATTAGGAAATTTCCCCCGACGATAAAAAATTATAATAAAATTTTCCCGGCATGAAACAAAAGAAAAAACAAAACAATGCGATCTTATTGTTGCCAAAACTACTGCTTCTTCAGCCTCAAAGTTGAAAACTACTGTTTCTGTTTAATCACACATGTCTGACTCTGGTATTTTTTCACTGCTTGCTCTTGACGTAAACGTTTTAATACAACTGAACCAGGAGAAACTACTTTCCATACTTGATATTGTTCGCTCTTTTTATAAAACAACCATTGTTTATCTCTTAGTTGACTAAAGTAATTATTGAAGTCGTTAAAGGCTAACATAATTCTTCGTTTTTACAAAGCCTTAAAAAATTTTCCCGAAAAAAATATTTTTTTCCCTGACGGCCGTCGAAGCAGACGGCTAGATTCTGTACCTCTGGTGAAAATTTTGTTCATAAAATATTTTTTATTTGTTCAATTTGTTTTTAGGTCTGAGCCAGAAGAAATCCAAGGTTGGGGAGTGAGTCCAAGAGGTGCTGGTTATCTGTTTGATAGTGATGTTGTTTCACAATTTAATCAAACAAATAATATAGACTTGATATGTCGAGCACATTAACTTGTTATGAGAGGTTATAAATGGCATTTTAATAAAATAGTACTAACTATATGGTCGGCATCAAATTATTGTTATCGTTGTGGAAATGTAGCAGCAATATTAGAATTAGATGAACATTTAAATAGAAGTTTCACAATATTTGAAGCAGCACCACAAGATCAACCATCGTCGGCAACGAAACGTGTTGTACCCGATTATTTTTTATAGCATTTTCTTTCTTTTTTTTAGAATGATAGTTGTATATAGTTGTTATACTCAAAATTGATTTTAATTTTCGTTATATATCTCTTAAATTGTTTATACTGTTTGACTCAATTTGTGAGTTTTCTGCTGTAAAAATTAAAACATTTTTTTATTACATGTGCTTTTTTTGCGTTTAGTAATAAAAAAACTAAAAAAACTTGGCGTTTACTTTTATTCGATATTATTCGAGTCAACTATTTAAGATTCCTTACAAAAGTCTTTGTTTCTTTTTGTAATAATAAACTGGTTGTAAACAAATGTTTACATTTCCAGATTCCATTGAAAAACTGTATCAGAAAAATAGAGGAACAATTTTCAAAGTCCTGAAGATAATTTGAGTGCATGGAGAGAATAATATTTTACCAAACAATTGAAAAATATCTGCGATTAAGTAAACAAAAATTTGAAACAATTTTAATAGAGAATAGAATTCAAATCTACTCTTGCCTAATGTAACCGATCATAAATATGTTACTAACAGGAGAAAGAAGATCACTAAGAGCTTTTTATTTCAGAAAACTATGTTTAAGTAAATACATGTTCTCTTCTTTTTTTCTCCGGATGTTTAGCATCATTCTTTATTACTTTTTTCTTTTAGTGATATTACAATCTCTTTTTTCTCTTCTTTTAACCTGCATGTTCAGAGTTTTAGAATAAATAAGAATGAGAAACAAAACCTCAATTTCATCAGTTTTTTCTATTGAACTACATTTATTTTCTCTTTTATATTTAGTATTAAATTCTCGGAAGAACAGTTTCACTTTATATATTTGTGAATTCACAATGTTAAAATGTTATTTTTCTAATTGCCAGTAATGTGAAAGTTTTTAACTGATTTAGTGTATTATGCGTAAGTGTTTATATCCTTAGCTACTGTGCATTTTAGTTTTATTCTACTAAAGCTGTTCTGCGACCTTCTCTCGTTTTTCATTAGTTCACTTTTCGTCTGCTACAAGTGATTAGTAATTGTTTTGTATTTACACATAGTCAAAGGAAGAATAATAGAAGGTCTATATAACTGATGCATAAATGTTACTTGGAAAGTCGAGTTGTTCTTATAAAGATTAATATAGGAAAAAAGAATGTTAAAACAATTATCGAATGATGTTCATCAACGTACATTCCCTAGACATTTCGTTCTTTTTTTTATTGAAACTTTCATCAATTTGTGCGAAAAAAATGATATCGTCTAAGTACATACATAAAAACCGCCATCTTTTTATAATGCTCTTTGTTCTACTTTTTTAACATGTATTTGAAATGTTCGTGCAGCAACTGTCAAAATATAGTCGAGTTGACTGTAACAATAACTTTTGGTATATAATCGATAAAGACATGCATTTTTTCGTCACTATGTCATAGTTATTAGCGCAGTTCATTAGTGAAAAGTTCCAGCTAATAATCAATGTATCCAATGAACGTTCAAAAATTGTGTCGTTCTTTTTGCGCTGTTGTGCCAAACTATAGTTCAAAAATATGCTAAGCGTACACTGACATTTATACTACATATCGACGCAAGTCTAAGACACTCATCTTTTTCACGTCGACTGTACTAAAATAAAAATTCATAGAATAATTGATACTTATTGAAATGATTTTCAAAATATCAGTAATCTGTATAAAAATATTAGCTGGTTAGTAAGATACGTTTCTATTTAGTTTCGAGATCATTAGATTTTAAGGCTGAGCAAAATGAGAAACACTTTCACCATGTACAAACGATGAGACATGAGTGTCTCTGACTTGTGTGGATATGTGGTGTAGATATAAGTGTATATTTAGCATATTTTTGAACTATAGTTTGGCATAGCAGCAGCACCAGATGACTTTCATATAATGATGAACAAAAATGCATGCCCTTGTTGATGATTATATACCAAAAGTTATTGTTACAGCCGGATCTACTATATTTTTAAATATATATAGTATTTTTAGACGCATAACATACCCTATATGTAGTACGATTGCTAATTATTTATCTACACAAATAATGATGAAACTAAAATTTGGTATTTTTTTCTTTTGTCAGTTATTTTAAACCAAATTATGGGTTGAAAAACGAACACATTGATAGACGTAGACGAAGAAAGCTAGACATAAACAGCCTCTTATTCATATTAATCAATGTCAGATTAATTCCGACAAGATGGAAACATGATGTTAAGATTTGGTATTTTCCATATCACCATAATTTTAACTTGAAGAGAAAATCTACAATTGTTTTTAGATGAAACAAGTTTAAATCTTAAAGTTCGTTTCCATTACAGATTTTTTTTCAATCAATTTAGTTTTGTTTGATTATAGATACTTATATGATCATGGGGAATGTAAAGATTTTGTCACGAACAAATTTTCATCACAGTAGAAATATAGACGTTCTTGTCCTTTCTGACTTGGAATTTGTTTTTTTCCACTCTATAATTACGTGTGAAGTGCGATGAGACTTTGGTATGCGTGTAGTCAACGGAAATTATAGAGTGAGAACGAAACTTTCTCTTTATTTATAAGTTATGTTTTATTAACCTCTATCTAAATTTTCTGACTTGTAATCAGTAATATTTAAGTTAATAATACCAAATATTATAGTTGATTCCTCGAACAAAAGTTTGTATTTACAAAGTGATCACCAAAATTTAGTTGACTTAAGTAGAAAAAGGACAGAAAGTTGTTTTAATATCGAATCCTTGTACAAAGTTGCACAAGTGACTGTTTCTTAAATCGAAGACTATTCTAGGCAAGAAGTTTATTGTCGATAAATATATATAGAGAGGTAGATAGATTGAATCGTGTGGATTTATGAATTCTTTTGCTATATATATCTTTCTTCATACATAAATGTATGAATGGTGTGATGATTGAGAGAAACTAATGTTTTTTTTCCCTTGATCTCCAAAGTTTTACAGTCCAAATCAATGTAAGAAAAAAGGTATAACTATTCGCTTGAGATTGATATAATATTTCTAAATGTATGTGAATAGTCTGATATTCTTTCTTGTTTCGTGATGTAGATATGCGTGTAGAATGATTAATGAAGGTTAATTGCATCTGTATTGGTTGAAGATGTCAATACAATTAATACCTGCTAAAGGTAACTTTTAGTTGAATGTGAAAGGTTTTTTTTCTTTTTTTTCTTTAATTATTTTGAACTTTTATATTAATTCGTTCAATTACTTTCAGTATCTTTTTTTCTTCTATTGAAATGTTTTATCTATTTTACTTTAATTTTAGATGTATCCATAACTTATAACAACTTTCAAAAGTGATTATAGAACGCTAACAAGGAAATTTTCTCTTATAAAATAAAAAAATACAATGAATACTTTATCTATTCGTGATCTATGTTGTTTATTTTGTTGTCCTCCGTGTCCTTCTCGAATAGCGGCAAAATTAGCATTTCTTCCTCCTGAACCAACCTACACATTACATGCAAACAATTTGTCGACATCACATACAAATGGAACTCATTATCAGCAACAGCAATCACCTAATAATGATGTAACGGCAAAATATTCTATGAATTTTTTTGAACGCGCCGAATGGCAACATACAAACGCTGAATTATCTCTATTAGAACCCTACTTTGTGACTACATCTCGAAATAATCGTATTGCTTGTTTGTATGTTAAATGTGTACCCAATCCAAAATATTATATATTGTTTAGTCATGGAAATGCTGTTGATTTAGGCAAATATAAATTTTTACTCATTTTTTATTAATAATCTATAGTGACCTATATTTTTTTCAGGTCAAATGGCTAGTTTTTTTATTGTATTAGGTAAACGTTTGAATTGTAACATTTTAAGTTATGATTATTCTGGATATGGAGCTTCTCAAGGAAAAGCATCAGAGAAAAATATGTATTGCGATATTGAAGCGGCATATCAATCATTAAAACAACGTTATCATTTACGTGAATCACAGATAATTTTATATGGTCAATCAATTGGTTCGTATGAAAAGTTTTTGTTACATAAATACGTACTAATCTTAATATTATTTTTCAGGTACAGTGCCCGTAGTCGATTTAGCATCAAGACATGGAGATTGTTGTTCAGCTGTTATTTTACATTCACCACTTACCTCTGGCATGCGTGTCGCATTTCCTGATACAAAACGAACGTGGTGTTGTGATGCATTTTCATCAATAGATAAAATACATCGTATTAGATCAATTGTATTGATTATTCATGGTAAAATGAATACATATGTACTCGTTCATACACACTTTTATTTCGTCTCTTTCAGGTACAGAAGATGATGTTATCGATGTTTCTCATGGTTTTGCACTGTATAGCAAGTTACAAAATTCAATAGAACCTTTATGGGTTGAAGGTATATTACTCTTTGACTTTATTAAAGAATCTTAATATTTTAAACAAATATAATTTTTTTTTAGGCGGCGGTCACAATGATATTGAGGTAAGTGTAAAATTTTAAAAAAATGAGAATATTCATTAAAAGTAATTGGTTTCTTATCGTATGTTATAGGCGCATGGTCAGTATGTTGAACGTTTATTGAAACTGATCGATGAAGAAGTACCACAATTATTAAATCAACAACAACAAACATCCATTTCACATCCACAAACAACACAAACACAGTTAGGATCAACATTAATCATACCAGCAACTGTCACTACTACAAATACCAATACAAATCAACATTCACCATCTACAACAACAACAAACACAAATTCAAATTCAAATACTACCTAGTTATTATTTGCAGATTTATACTTTATATTTGCAATAGAATTTATTTGATAAACGGGCAATTTCTACAACTGTTTTCTTTTTCTTTTTATGAGCTTCAGAAGATATCTTACTTTGTTCTCTTTCTATTGTATAAAAAAAGGTCTGATATTGCTATGTGATTAGGCCGTTTATGTTAAGTTTCTTGTTTTTGTTATATTTATTTTTAGTGGTCATTGTTGATTTTTTTTACCACGATTTGCATTAAAACAAGTGGTTTTCGATTTAAGCGAGCGATATAACTGTTATCATTTGTATGATGATCTAACGGCCAAAGAATGCCGTTGCTTCGGATTCCGTTGACTTTTTGGGGCAGTTTTATCTTGTCTTAAATACATTGCAAAGCAATTCTAATCAATAATTATCCATTCAAAATAAAATTGAACTTGTAATTGTTCTTGATTTACTAATGTAATCTAAGTGTCGTTCAAGTGTATTTAGAACATTACAAGCTCAATTTTATTTTGAACAGATAATTATTGATCACAATTCTTTTACAATGTATTTAAGTCAAGATAAAACTACCCTTAAAAAACGACTAAGAATCACGAAAGGAAGTCCTTTGTTTTTTTGTTGGTTGTTAGAGCATGAAGACAATTTTTCAACAACTTTTTTCTCAAGTTATCACTCGATATGAAGTTGTTTGAAAAATTATTTATAATTTGATTTAACTTGTTATTTTTACGATAATTTGCTGTACGGTTGTTGATTACATTTTCATCTGTGACGGTCTACCGCTATTCATAATGTGCTACAAAAAATTGATCATCAACTTGATCGTTTGAGTTATTCTTTTCTATTGTTGTGAAAAAAACAAAAACAATTTTTCTTCGACACATATCATTTAATGTTTTGTAGTATTTTTGTGTTTCACAGTCTCTTATTTCAAAAACAAAAAAAGAATGAAAAAGAATATCATAAGATTCTTTTTACTATTCCCAATAGTTGTCGTGTTTACCCCTCCTAATCAATTTTATATGTCCTTTTTTGTATTTGATCTCTATATAATATAATCTCAGTGTGTTAACCACAAAAACTTGAATGATTCTATTTTCTTTCCGTTTCAACTATTGGGCAATGTAAATATCTTTGGTTATTTTTCTGGTAAATGCTGCATATTGAATGTCAGTGTTTTGATTTTTCTCAAACTGTATCCACATGTGTTTTGTTTTATTATCTTGAAAATTGGAAATAATATTTTCTAGAATTGTGGTTTGTTACAACTGTTTTCTTTGATTATTTTGTTGTTTTTTTTTCATAAACGATTTCAAGCAATAAAGTGAATGATAATCATACATAAAAATTGGTCGACTAACATATTCGATTTAAGCTTTAAAAATTGTCACGTATTATTTAGACTGAAACAATATATACTAATTTCTTTTACAAAGGATCGATTTTTGCTATTTCGAAGTTTCAGACGATTTACATATATCGCAAACACAAATACAAAGAAATATATGTTATTTATTATAACATATACTAGGGACTTCTAATTTTGTGTGGTCATAGCACTTACCAAATGCTGATCATCTACCAAATCTGGCCCCTTTTACTAGATGATTCGTGAGATATAAGCGATTTATTTCTTTTGCGTAAAACGCCTGACCTGAGAGAGAGATGAAAACTTTTTCTTATTACAAAAAAGCAGCCACGATTCTACTCTACCGACGATATGAATTTCGCGAGTTGGCTGTTAGTAGCCAGGTGAATACAGTTATTTTAGGACGCGGTTCGGTTTTTTTGTTGAAAATTCAAGATTCTTTGAGAAAAAAATTCACAATTCCGTCTAGGAGCATCGTTTTAACTGCAAATTCGCACTAAAGACTCTACAGTGTCTTTAGACTATCTAGCCGAAGTATGAAGGTTAACTATTGTGTGTTTCAGGAAATTCATTGAGAACAAGCATCCACGATTGAAACATACATAGAAGAGTGAGGGTGATGAACTAAGGATCGTTCTTTCTACTATAGAATTTGCATTCAATGTACATCATAATCATGAAAACCTATGGTTTAGAAAAAGTTAGATGAAACTTTTGTTAGAAAGATTATACACCCACCCCAAACCTTCACTATTTCGTTTATTTTGCGCCTTTTTCACTCCCCATATATTTTCAAGCAAAACTAATAACATATTTGAAATCAGCAGACAAAATTGGGTCATTAATTCATTGAATAATTTAATACGTAATATTTACGAAAGCTATTCAGAGGGTAAAATCTCAGGACGCAAATTTGCGTCGTCCGTAGTCAAAGGGTTAACCGCATAAGAAGTAACTGAGAATTTTAGGTTAATAAAAAAATCAAATGATTATGCGAAGAAAATATTGTGATAAAATCATTGACATAGCATAGATAATTCGGGGTCTGATGATAAATACAAAATTATAAATTCTATGAACTTCATACACAACATCATATTGATGAGACTCGCTTGTCATTTCATATTGCCATTTTCAAAAGTGACGACTAGCTCTCTCGTAATTTTCTGCTAGACAGAGAGTTAGCTATTCTTACAGATAGAGGTGCTAGCCGGTCGTTTGGTCATCGTCGGCGTGAGAATTCAAAAACATTTTGCGCCTTCGACGGTAACGTCAGTTTTTGAAAAAAATCGATTGACGTGGATGATGCGACTAACATCTCTACTTATAGATAAAATTCAGTGTGTTAATTATTAGTACGCTTATTGCTTCGTGCATGAGCTAACAAATTGCGGTCAAAACATTTTTATGACAACTATATTTTATAATTTTATGAATAAATAAACGATTTTACATTATGAAGATAGAACAAGTTTTAATTTGGATTGAATATTTTTGCTTCCTAATATAAAACCTTTTTATATTCAACGTTCGGTCTAATCGTTAGAACTTTTTCAAGGATAAGAAAGTGAAATATTCATTAGAGTTTTCTCTTTTAGCGTATCCTGATCTTTTTCTTGATGTCGCATACAGATCACCTTTTCTTTTCTATATGTATCCTCATGTCTGACATACACATATCTACATGCGACATCAAGAAAAACATAAAGATACGCTAAAAGAGAAAACTCTATTAACAATTTTTTCCATTTAAAACACATTTATGGATAAACATGTGATATTTTTTCAATGATATGTATACAGTTAGATGTTAAAACTGTATTGTGACCCATAAAAATAGAATCTAATTTTACCTCTTCTCCTTCCTTTCTTACTATAGATACGATACTTAGCAGAAATTTCTCTCGCATGATAAAAAGAGAGAAAAACAAAAGAAAGAAAGAACGAACTCAAGACAGAGCAATAAAACTGTGAAAATAAAATAAAATTGAAATGACATATTCGAGAAACCAACCTCGATCGTTCCATCTAGATATTTATTTTATTTTTTTTCTATAATTCTCTCATCAGCATCTCATTTTGACGATCATTACACGTGCTCTCAAGCTAACCGAGCAAGAAGTTACCAAAAATTCAGGTGGAGATTATCAAAAACGATGGGAAAAGAATTCTGAAGAATTAACGATTGCTTATACCTTATAATCTTTTCTCACTTGCTATCTCGAATTATCTGCTCTCATCTCTACTGGTTTATTTGACTTAGTTAATTTGAATATTAGTTATGTAAAATTCTTTTTCACTTTTCATATATAATGGGTGGAGCAGAAAAAACTGATCTCTCAGTATTTTGTGTTTTTCTCCTGTTTCTTAAGTCCGATTGTGAAAGTAAAAGATGACAAGAGAAATTGTGCAAAGTACCAAACTGGAGAAAAAAACTGTAATTTCAAGTGCATTCATTCTCATCGTATATAGCAACATATGTTTGAGACAAAATGTTTGACTCAAAGATTAACTTCTTGGGGATGGCTCAGAAAATTTGAACCTTTTCTGCATGTTATAACAAAGAAATTTTTGTCAACTCTTAGTGATCTGACAATATAGACTAATCATTTGTTTTCAAAATAAAACTGAATTTAACCTGAAAAGATTTTTCATGTGTTTTTCTTCCACAAGCGTTTATCGAATTAAATCAGAAAAACTGATTTTTAACTTATTTTTTGTCTCTTTTTTGGTACTGCGCACAATTTCTCTTGTCATTTTCACCTTCATGTTTTACAATAAGACACTCAATATGCATACATTTTTTATAGAGAATTGAACGGGGAATCTAATGAAAAGAAGACCAAAACAATTGAGCTTAAGAAACAGCTTTTCTGAGCCATCCCCAAGAAGTTAAGCGTTGAGTCAAACATTTTGTCTCAAACCCATGTTGCTATATACGATGAGAATGAGTACACTTGAAATTACACAGTTTTTTTCTCTAGTTTGATTATCATGCGAGAGAAATTTCTGCTAAGTATTGTATCTATAGTAAGAAAGGAAGGAGAAGAGGTAAAATTAGATTCTATTTTTATGGGTCACAATACAGTTTTAACATCTAACTGTGCACATATCATTGAAAAAATATCACATGTTTATCCATAAATGTTTTAAATGGAAAAAATTGTTAATGAATATTTCACTTTCTTATCTTTGAAGAAGTTCTAACTATTAGATTGAAACAGAAAATATCCCGCGGGAGTTAACTTTAACAATATTTGCTGATTTCCCGTTTTTTACGCTAGCATGTTGATATTCTATCTATTTGTTCCAGTGAATGTTGAATCTGGGTAATCACCGATATCGATTCATTTCGATTGATTCCAATCAAAAACTTACCAGAACTTATACGAACCGGTATCTATTTAGCCTATTAACGGTTCGAATACCGATTTTCATTAGAAATCTGAAACACGGCGTTCTCGGTGTAGACTATTATAAGTCGATCTTTTAATAATAAACTACTAATATAGCAGAAAAGTTTAAAAATTTGCCATAAATCAGTGATTCTTATACACTATATGTCCGAGCAAAACAAAAAGGTGGACGTCTCGCGTAGCTGCAGTGGGTGTTTTTCTGTAAAACGTGACGCTCGGAGGTG